CCAGAATAAACAGGTTCATTAATTCCAGGCGGAACTGCTATGACGACACACAAAGGCAGCATGACCGTTGAGACATTCAAACATTGTCTGCGCCATTTTGAGAAATACCGAATAGCTGGCCGTTGCCTATTGATTTTTGATGGTATTTTTTCTCCTCTGGATTACACTATTATTGAAGTTGCAGATGAGCTCGGGATCATCCTATATTGCTTAATAAGTAACACTATACATGAACTTCAGCCAACGGATAAGGCAGTTTTTCGATCTTTCGAAAATGTCTAGGATGATAAAGTTTTGAAATCATCATCATCATCACCCAGCCCTTTGCGTCCACTGCTGGACATAGGCCTCCCTCATTTTTGTCCATTGTGCTCTGTTTTGGGCACTTTTTATCCAATTTCTTGACATATTTTTGAGATCGTCAGTCCATCGTGTAGGGGGTCTTTCTCTACTTCTTTTGTCTAATCTCGGTCTCCACTCAAGCAATCTCTTCGTCCACCTTTTCACTGATTCGGCTTTCATCACGTGTCCAGCCCAGTTCCATTTCAGTGTGGCAATTCGGGAAATTACATCGGTAACTCCTGTTCTTCGTCTTAGGTCTTAATTTCTAACTCGGTCACAAAGCGATATATACAGCATTGATCTTTTCATTTTCCTCTGAGCTAATTGCAGCGTCCTAGAACTTGTAGCTGTCAATGTCAAAGTTTGGGCACCATAGGTCATCACAGGCAACACACATTGGTCAAATCTTTTACGTAAGTTTTGAAATACTGGACTCAAAACAGAGACCGTTCAATAAGAAAGCAACGTTTTGGAAGCATTTTCTCCATAGTATGGGACAAATCCATGACATCAAATATAACATTAAATCGTGATTTTTAGCAACAGGTATCTATCCTTTCAACCCACGTGCAATACCTATCGACTGACATGCTTCTAGAAGTGCAACTGAACAGCAAAATGCACCTAATGAGCCACTTTCTGAAAACTTTCTTGATATCTTAGATTTGAGTGACATGGATACATCTCACGAAGAAAAAAGTGATATTAAGAGCATATAATAATTACGGAAGAAATGTATGATACTTAATTATCTGATATGCTGACCACTCCAGACATGGCAAACAAATATGTACGACCAAAAAAGAAAGCAGCCCTCAATAGTGGAGTTCAAGTTGTAACAAGGGACCTATCTGCTACCAATAAGACCAATACCTCCTATAACAAAACTAGCTTACCCAAAGCATCCCAGAAAAGTTCTTCAAATAAGAAGGAAAACTGGTTCTGCAAGGCCTGTAAAAAGGATAGAGTAGCTGACATATGATTATGCACCATTTATCTTTGTTACTTCCATGAATAATGTGTTGGACTAACAGAAAAAGTGCATCAATATTGTGTTTGACAATGTTGATTTGTTGATAAAACTATTTTTTAAATATTGACGTACATTTGCAAGTAAAGTTCACATTGCATCCAAAACACGTTGGCGATATTACCAAGAGAAGGTTGTAAATATCATTAACTGACAGTACCTTGTAAACTGTTTTGTAACTGAGACAAAAATGAGTAGTTGTGCATGTGGTAACATATCATTCAATATGTCCCATTATCAATATAACAAATTGTCAACCTTAACTTGGCGATATTACCTTTACCTACCTTTATTTTTTTCCTTAGGTACAATATATAACATTATGTCTACATTTTTCTTCATACTCCAACTGATTTCCGAAAACACAGCTCCGTCGATTAAACGAATAAATATAATCGTGAGATACAGTCTCACGATACGATATCGTAAGTCAGGATTAACTTTGGAAATATTCCATGTCCTTTTTGACCGCTTTCAGGATCGAATCCTGCCGAGACTACTCAAATCCTGTGCTTTTTCCTCATTTGCCAGAATATTCATTCTTTATCTAAAAATGCTTAAAAGAATTTCTCGAGATCCATGAATATGTTTCATTGCTTCTTTACAATCGTAGAATTTACAATCGTAGACGATTGTAAAGAAGCAATGAAACAAAGCCTTCAGAAAAATCTTCCATTCGCCGCTCTCTGTGGCAAGTCTTCTCCATGCTTTAACTCCGATGGATTTTAGATCATCCTCTATGTTATCTTGATACCTAAGTTTTGGTCTTCCCCTGGATCGTCTTCCTACTGACCCTCTTCGGCCGAGAATTTTTCTGATCGTTGCATCTTCATCTCGCCTAATTACATGTCCTATTCATCGAAGGTGTACTAATTTAATAAATTTTACAACGTCAGGTTCCCCAACACTTCTGTATAATTCAAAGTTGTAGCGCCTACGCCACAAACCCTGTTCTTGGACTCCATATATTTTCCTTAGAATTTTTCTCTCGAAACGTCTAAGCAGTTCTTGTTCGTTCTATGTGAGTGACCACGTTTCTGACCCGTATGTTTACACTGGCCTTATTAGTGTTTTATATATGGTAGTTTTAATTTCTGGATAGTTTTGGGGCCATCTGTTTCCTTAAGCCATAATAGCACTTATTGGCAAACGCTATTCTTCTTTTACTTTCTTCGCTGCCATTGTTGTCTTTGGTCAGCAGCGAGCCCAAGTAGATGAAGGTGTCCACACCTTCTAGTTGAAGATCATCAATTAATAGTCTAGGTATCTGGTTGCCTGGTCTAGTACAATACATATACTTGGTTTTCTGTGCGTTTATTTTTAATCCCATTCTCAGTGAAGACGCCCTTAATGATCGAAATGCTTCGATCAGAGATTCCGTGGATCTAGCAATAATGTCTATGTCATCTGCAAATCCGACCACTTGTACAGATTTATTAAAGATGGTGCCATTCGTATTAATATGGCACTCTCGAATTACTTTTTCTAGTGCAAGGTTAAATAAGCGACACGACAGTCCATCTCCCTGTCTCAGTCCATTTCTACAATGGAAGCATCTTGAAAAGTCATTTTGGATTCTGACTACACTCTCTACGCCTGTGAGTGTAAGTTCCGTTAGTTTAACTAGATGAAGCGGTATTTGAAATTCCACTATAGCCTGAAGTTTTTGTCTGTTGACTGAGTCGTATGCAGCTTTGAAATCCACGAATATAGAAATCCTCCGTTTTCTCAAGAATCTGAATGACTGTGAAGATTTGATCCCTTGTTGATTTATTGGGTCGGAATCCGCACTGGTAATTCCCAACTATTTGTTCAGCATAGGACAAACAGGCAAAAGAGTGTTTTTTTGAACATCCCGGCCAATATTCTGACTGCATGCCTAATAAACTGTGTTGTTTGTTTATATCTACAGTCACTAATATCCAGTATTTCTTATATATATATATATATATATATATATATATATATATATATATATATATATATATATATATATATATATATATATATATAATAGTTGTTGTTCTATATTAGTTTTAGGTTCTGAATCGTGATTGGTTTGATGAGCTGTCACGTTTGCATATATTCTTTGATGGTTTTGTAAAGTATTTAGATGATTTGTTTCAGTACCTACATGTGGACTATTGGTTTCCTATTTTCTGCATATGTCTATTTTCTACTAGTGTCCTGTAGACTACATACTCCTTATAGTTAGCAGGGTGATCTTGTTTGCATAGTACACACTTAGCTGGAGTGCTTCTAGGTTTTTACAATCTTTTGTATTGTGTTGTTCTCCACATTTGACTCAGTAATGCGGTTTAGTGCAAAATGTTTTACTATGGCCATATACTTGACATCGCATACATTGAATCATTTTGATGAGTTTCTCTTATTTGGTGCCTCGACTGTTATTTTGGTGTGACATAAGAATTCTAGGTTTTTTGTTACTGTTAAGTGTGGTGAATGATTTCTTCTTCTCGTAAATGTCTTATCAGTTTACGGTATGTATCTATTGTATATGTTGTAATCTTAAAAGTGTCGTTTGGTAGAGTTCTGGTATAGTAGGTGTTATGTATTAATAATATTCGGACTGGTGCTTACACATATATAATAGTAGGTTTCTTCCTCCACAATTTGTGCAAAGTTGTCGACCATATCTTCAAAGTTTTTGACGCCATATACAAATATTGGAGGTGGTTTTGTTATTTTCTGTTTCGGTCTGTTCAGAGCTCTCGGCGTTTGATTATGCACTGTATCGATTTTGTATTTTTGTTGGTGGTGAGCTTGGAGAATTGGGATCATTATTTTGTTTTGAAAATTTACGTTTTTGACTACTTGCCATGAGTTTTTATTTTGGTTTCTTGATCATCGTCTTCGCTAGACTCCATATCCGAGTTTTCTGAATGTCTAAAATTGCAAGTTTTAGCTTTGTGTTTGAGGTCTGACCTACAGTAGATAGGTTGCTTGGGTTGTAGTTAATTGGTTGGGGTTGTGGGGGAAATTGTTGTGGTTGTGGTCGAAGAGCGAATTGATTTTGTGGAGTGTTTAATATAGGAGTATTTGCGGGTTGCCAGTCTATGTGGTTTGGTGCATGTTCGGATGTGTATTCTAGTGAAGAATATTATTGAGGAGTTGGGTTCACGTTCCTGAATGTTTGTTAATAGTGGACCTGCTGCTTACCTGCAATTTCTGCTGATACTACAATAGACACTGGTTGTTTATGTTCCGTGTGTGTGACTTGTTCATTGTATCATTGTAGAAATCAGAATTTGGTACGCCACTGCCACTTTACTGTTTATTTTAATAACTATAATTTTAATAATTAGATTTTAATTGTTCTTATCGGTGGTAACTTTTTGCTATCGTACTCGGCGGAATACGTCCTTACTCTATGATATACAAGACAACACTAAACAGTAGTTAAAAATGTAATTATCACTATTATCAGTTGTGGCTTAATCACATGTAAACATAATATTATTTAACATATTACTTCTTGTCCTAGTATTTTGTCTCTTACAGTCATACTATCATTTCATTTCAGTTTTCTTGTCTTTTTAATTCTCTTACACGCTCATACGATGTCATTAAACTTTTGTTAAGTAAAACATTCAATTTAAAAGTTAACAGAGTTTATTTCAATAATATTACAAAATTGTTTAAAAAACGCAACAAAAGTCATTAAACTTAACAATCATCAACTTACAAACACCCACAAACGATTATAAAAACAAAACATATTTATATCTTTTATAAAAATCAAGCAAGTTCATTACCCAATGTTTTATGTAGTGTCTGAAGAACTAATTCCAGTTCCTTTAGGTTGTTTCTTGCTTGCTGACACATTTTTCCTTCAGGAAGAGCATCTGGTTCGTGCCTTAAAAGTTCTATACATTGAATAAGAAGACTTTTTGACTCCTAAAAAATATATATTTATTAGAATTAAATTTAAAATGTAAGAATATCATAAATTTTATGTCCTATTACAATTTTAACAATCAGCTTTCTTCACGGGTCTTCACTTCTATCTATTTTGCTGTAATGATATTTTATATTATATTATAGGATATTTTTCAGTTGGTCCTGATTTTCGTAGACTTTCGCATAACACTCCATATGATAGCATACATTAACAGCGTAACGAGAACGATAGAGGAATGTCGTATAAATTATCGGTACTCAAAATTGATCACGAATATATCATCATCATCATCAGTGGCATTACAGCTCGTTATGAGCCAAAGCCTTCTTAAGAACAATCTTCCATTCGCCCCTGTCTCTGGCAACTCTTCTCCATGCTTTAACTCCGATGGATTTTAGATCATCTTCTATGTTATCTTGATACCTAAGATTTGGTCTTCCTCTAGATCGTCTTCCCACTGGTCTTCTTCGATCGCGAATATATACAACTAGTAATTCTGCCCGTCGCATGCGATGGAAGGTTCAATCAATGGCAATCGGCAGTCACACTTTAAATTTTTAAAACAATACACTTCTTTTATGTAAACCAAGTAAATATAAGGTATGATCTATAGGTCTGACTCTACTGATCATTTTTTACTATAGTTATATATATATATATATATATATATATATATATATATATATATATATATATTGATGGCACGCTATATCCATTATATCTACTACATGTCTCATGTCGTTTTATTTGATGAGTCATATGCTAGGATTCAGCTAGTTGTTTATTTTGTACTCAGCCAGAGGCCTTCTTAAGCAAATTTTACCTGATAGTATCTCTATTTAGTAGTCGATTTGTTTGCTTTTTCTATCTTAATATATTCCTTATATTCTCCCCTTTATTTGCCATGTCGCATGTTAGGATTCGGTCAGTTGTTTATTTTGTACTCAGCCAGAGGCTTTCGTTAAGTCAAAAAATCAAAATTTGTCTTACAGTAAATGTATTTTTACTCATAGTGTCCTATTATATCTCCTCTTCTTCTTCTTCTTTTTTATAAGCAAAATGCTTGTTCAATGTCGATTAATGCCTCTATTGGAGGTTATCACTCCATCTTTTGCGTGGTCGCCCGATACTTCTTCTACCTTTTGGTGATTTGTCCCTCGCTATTCTGACTAATCGGGCCTCTTTCATTCTGTTTATGTGTTCGTTCCATTCCTTTTTTCTGTTCAGTGTCCACTCATTTATTTCTGGTATATTACATTTTCTTCTGATCTCTTCACTCCTCATTCGATCCCTCAGTGTGTTTCCTGTAATTCTCCTCAGTAAACGCATCTCCGCTGTTTCTTTGTAGATTCTTGATTTTACGTCGGTATTAATGTGGGGATTGCGCCATATCGTGTTATTAAGACAACCTGCTATTTTATTAGCCTTTTGTACTTGATTTTTCACTTCCTTCTCCACATCTCCGTAGCTAGACAGTGTAATTCCTAGGTAATTTGTCTCCATTACTTGCTCAATGCTGATACCGTCGATTTCCAGTTTACATCTAATTGGTTCTTTACTGATTACAACTGTTTTAGTTTTCTGTGTAGAGATCACCATATTAAAGTCCTTTGCCCTTGTGTTGAATCTATGGGTTAGTCTTTGTAGATCGTCTTGCAGATGATGCAATTAGAGCCGCATCATCTGCATAGCAGAGTATTCTGATTTCTTTGTTCCCCATTTTGTATCCTCTTCCTTTAGTAATAGTATTGATGATTTCATCCATGATTAGATTGAATAGCGTTGGACTAAGCGAGTCTCCTTGTCTTATTCCATTGCCCATATCTATTGGATTTGTAAGCTGGTCATCTATTCTGACTTTCTGACTGAGTTTCTCTATCGTAAAGAAGGTGAATTACATCTTTAAGCTTTACTTTATCGAACGCTTTCTTCAGGTCTATTAGACATATGAATGCTGGTCTGTTATACTCTAGTGCTTTCTCGGTAATCTGTTTTATGATGAATACTGCATCTTTGTACGATCTTCCTGTGCGAAATCCCTGCTGTTCATCCGCTAAGGTAATTCTCTGATTTGTTTGGCCTTGCAATATTTTGGTTGTAAGCTTCAAAGTGGTGTTTAATAAGTTGATACCTCTGTAGTTTTCAGGTTGTTTTTTATCTCCTTTTTTTGTATAGTAGGATAAGCTCGCTTTTCTTCCACTCTTCAGGTATTTTATTATATTTGATGATTTTGTTAATTAGTGCTCTTAGCTGTTCTGTTAATGCCTCTTCGCCATATTTCAATAATTTATTTGGAATTCCATCTTTACCTGCAGCTTTTCTGTTCTTCAGTTTTTCTAAAGTTTGTTTTACTTCTTGTACGGTTATCTCGACTTCCTCGTTTGTAATGATTTCTGGTGTTTCTGGTTCTAATATCATTTGCTGTTTATCATTATAAAGCTTCTTTAGGTATTAAATCCATGTGTCGTTATCTATGTGTTTCGGTTCGATTAAGTCTTTCATCTCTGATTTTTGGCCTCTTATGAAAGCCATATTTCGTTTTGTAGACCGTAAAAGTCGTGTTCCATTTCCTTTGAGAAGCGTTCCCAGTGTTCGTTTTTAATTTTTCTTACTAGTGCTATTGTTTCGTTTCTTATCTTTTCATAATTGTTGTATTCTTGTGGTGTTTTGTTAGACATGTATCTTAAGTAAGCTTTCTTTTTTTCTTTGCATTTTTCTTTCACTTCTGCGCAGAACCACGGAGTTTTCCGCTTTTGGAAATATTTATTTTTAAGAATTTTCCTTTCTCCTACAGCTTCTTTTGCTGAATCTAGGATGCTTGCTTTAATTTTCGCCCAGCTTTCTTCGATTCCATCACTTTCTACGATGTGCACGTTGTCGAGTTTATCTTTGACTCTCTTTTGGTATAGAAGTTTTGTTGATTCGTTCTGCAGACTCTCGACTTTTACCTTTGTGGTGTATTCTTCTTTTTTATTTTTATTGTTTTTATTGTTACATATGCGTGTCGTCATTCTGATTTTTCCAAGTATGGTCGCTTCCTATTTCTGCAGATGTTAGTGCTCTTATGTCCAATACTTGAGAGGGATGTATTACCCTGTTCGTCAGGATGTAGCCTATCATTGACCTTTGACCTCTTGTATTTTCGAATGTGTATTTGTATTGTTCCTTATGAGGGAAAAAAGTGTTGTTGATGCGTAGTTCATTCGTGCTACATAGGTCCGTGAGGAGATCTCCATTTTCATTTCTGATGTCTACGTTATGACGCTGTTTTATCCCTGGTACGATGTCGTTGCCAACACGGGCATTAAAGTCGCCCGTAACGATCATAAATTCATTTTTAGGGACCTCATTTATCGTGTTTTTGGAGGTGTTCGAAGAAGCTTTCTCTTGTGTCTGCGTCTCTGTTGTTCTCTGGAGCATAAATGGCTATTATGTGTAGAGACTTATCATTTAGTTTGAGTTTTACGTAAACTGTTCTTTGTGAAATGTATTTACAATCCTCTATTTGGTCAATGAATTTCTTGTGTAAAAGTAGGGTTACTCCTATGTTGCTATATGTTCATTAATATTGAAGATACTGTGTACTGCAATTTTGGTAGCTGTCTTATTTGTTTTTTATATCTCAATATATTTGTGATTTTAACAAACCATACGCTCTAGTCAAAACAATACCTACGGAGATTTGATACACTACCCTTTTGGCATTGCCGTCGTGTGTGGTTTTTCTGTCTTAACATATCCGCTACCTCTTCTCTTTTTCAATGATGTATACGTCACGATCTGACCATCTATTCTACACCCACCAGAAAACACTAACAAACTATTTAAACCATCAGTACGACTTTTTATCGCAAAATAATTTCAGTTATTCTTTCCGTACAGTTGCTTGTAAACAAACATGTTAGGTTAGGTTAATAATATAAATAACAACAAAGTGCATGTAAACAAATACGTAAATGGGATAAAAAAACACAAAAAAGTCTATTTTTTGACAAAAGAAATACTAAAATAAATAAAAAAGCGCCTAAATTAGCATATCAATTTGATACAAAGAAGCAATATCATTACGAAATATGTAGAAGTGATATAAACGCTCTAAATGCAATATATAAATTATTTTATAAATTTTCTAAAGCCTTTATTTCTTTATAAATAATGTTATTTCTCCATGTGATTACTGATCTAATAAAAATAAGTAACAATTCGAAGAATAACACGCCCAGTAAAACTAGGTAATTGTGAATTTGGAAAATTAATAAACTAGGAAATCAGTGAACTTTTGACAGAAGAAGATTTTGATCAAGGTCCAAAAACTTAGATCAAAGGAACGTCTATAAAGGGAACATATAAACGCAGTTATCGAGAAAATCACCAAATAAAGACCTCTAGCAGGTAGACCAAAATGAGATAGAAAAAACAGGTAATTGAAGATCTTAGGAAGATTTTAGTTAGAGACTGGAAGGCTATACGCAAAACAAACAAAAAATTGAGAGATATTGTAGAAAACGCAAGTCACCAATTGTAGAGCGAAAAAAGTTAATGCGGATTGATTTTCTGCCACAAATGAATCAGAAGAGCCCGAAGAAGGCGATCATTCCTCCATCAGGAGTGTAGATATAATTATAAATAGGGACACCAGCTCTGTGTACATTTTCTACTTATTTTATTAGAGAGGAGGAAAATCTTTATAAAATAGCCGGCTAATGGCAGATCATTACCGATTTTCCTATATGGTTATAATTATATAATATGGTTATACTATAAAGTTATGATTCTTGACATTTATTATCTATTTTGTGTTTTATTTTTATTTAATTTATTATCACCTATCTACTATAGATAGGTAATTCAATTCAGTTCTACATCGCTATCCAAAATTATTGTACTTTTAGATTGGATTTGTATACTTACAAGCATAGACGCATAAACAATATCAGGTTCAGTCTTACGCCTTGCAATTTCCGCAAGAGCTGCGATAAGCTCAAAGAGACACACTCCTCTTACTCTCTTTTCACCTGAAAAGATAAGAAATGTAATAAACTGAAAATCTATCATACTGTATTTTTTTATTACTTTTTAGTGTAACATCAGGAATGTAAGTTTGCTGTAAAATGTGTAGTTGCTGACTACTAATGAGATATATAATTTTCAGAAGTTCGCTTAAAGGAAGTCTAGTATTCATATACAATACATAAAGTCAACCATTTTTATTTTCGGTATATTGAGTTATACAGGGTGAGTGGGGAGGAACGCACCAAACTTTAAGACTGTATAATATACGTAAAAATAAGTAAAAATAACTCATATGTTGTTATTCGATTTTCATTTGTTTTCGAGTTATAGTGATAATAACACAAAGTTGTAACTTAACATTAATTTAACGTTAAATGTTCTTATAATAAATTTTCAAAAATACCACCATTGACCTGTAAGAATTTTCTGCTTCGTCTATGAACATTCAACGTTGCTCTTCTGATTGCGTCATGGTTTGCTCTAATTGTGGCTGCAACATTTTTAATGCGTCAAATTAGTGCATCGCGAGTGTCGACTTTTACCTTGTAAACTTCATTTTTAAACCAGCCCCATAAAAAATAGTCTAATGGTGTTAGGTCTGGAGACCTCGGAGGCCAACTAATAGGACCATTGCGACCAATCCAACGCCTTGGAAATTTGGTATTTAAATGTTGCCTGACCTGACGAGCAGAATGTGAAGGAGCTCCATCGTGCTGATAATACATTTGCATTCTGATATTTAGTGGAATGTTCTGTAGGAGTCCTAGCAATTTATTCTGTAAAAAATTCAAGTACTCCTCTTCTGAAGGCGGTTCTCATATATGAAAGGGCCAATTAAATAACCGTCGATCACACCACACCACACGTTTACCAAAAATTTGTGCTGAAAACTAGCTTCAATTGTTGCATGTGGATTTTCATCTGACCATACATGTGAGTTGCGGCTATTATTAATACCGTCTCTGGTGAATGTTGCTTCATCGGTAAAAAGTATGCGGGATATAACACGACGATTATTATTTATCCATCGACAAAATTGCATACGGCTGGCATAATCTTCTGGTTGTAGGTGCTGTACACGTTGTAGGTGGTATGGATATAAACCTTGCTCGTGAAGTGTGTTAATTACTCTCGTTTGAGGAATGGCTAAATGAGTACCGATTCTTCGTGAGCCGATCCCTGGATCATCTTCTACTGAATCCAGAATATTTTGTATTTCTTGTAAACTTTGTCGGGGAGAACGTTCCGATATTATTTTATAACTAGGAAGCGTTCCGGTCTCGCATAGTTTGTTGAAAACTCTAATAAATACATTTTTATCTGGAGTTCTTCGATTTGGAAACCGTTGACGATATTCTTCAACAACAGCTCTACCGTTTCCTTTACAAAAGCCATAAACAAACACCATATTTGCATAATCACTATTTGAATAAGTATGTGGCATTTTGCAACAACTTTTTTTATACAAACTGTCAAATAGACATTAAATCACGTTGACACTACACTATTATGACAGTTAACTAATTATTAAACGAATCACAGATACCTGTTACAGCAATGTGATAAGTAGCAGTAAAATTACAACTTTGTGTTATTATCGCTATAACTCGAAAACAAATGAAAATCGAATAACAACATATGAGTTATTTTTACTTATTTTTACGTATATTATACAGTCTTAAAGTTTGGTGCGTTCCTCCCCACACACCCTGTATAAGTTAATGGTTGGTATTACGTCGCTGAGTCATTCAAATGTCTTATTTATTTGATATTAATTATCGAGAAACCCCTACGACATTTTTTGTAGCTTTACTTAACAAATCGTAGTATCACATTCTTGTCGTAGCTCCTGGTTATAGTCATTATGGACTGAAGCTAACGGTAAAACAGGAAGATAATTTTTCTGCAGCTTAAAACAAGAACACACTTTAACATCAAGATTGGAATGCTAGGAGAGTAACCTGCTTTAAATCTAAAGCTATAGCCATAGCTTACAGAAAATAGCCTACATTAGGATGTAATCGAAGCAGAAAACTTAAACGCGAGAGGACTGAATAGTATAGCAACATTGTAGGTATATTTGATGCGGACATGCAGAACAATAATAGAAAAAGACTTATTAAACGATTTTCCAACAAACACAGTTTGCATAAAAATAATCATTAATATACATCAGACAACCTATCACTAAAACAGAGAACAGAAGTCAATTAATGACAAGATTATCGTTAGAGTTGAAAATTTAGAGTAAGTAGCGCTGTATTTATACAAGAGGCGTTAGCTGTGAAACTGATAATTATCTACTTGTTGTCCACTAATAAATCAATTTTCATAAAAACTCCATAATCACTATAAAAGGTGGATTAAGAAAATAGGCCACACCAGTTCAGGCACAGTCATACACATTACGAGCTCTTCACTAATGAAGAAGTCGCGAATGCTATCAAACATTTTCATAATTGGATGGAAGAGCAAGTATACAACTTCAGAATAAAGAAGTTGTGGAATATTTAAAAGTGCTTAAATTAATTATACCAGATGGGATTAGCAATTAAAATATATACTGATATACATCCAATGATATAGAAATAATATAATATTAGAACATATCAAATGTTTTACAAAAAATTTCACCTGAAACCGTCGAGAAATATTGCCCTCGAAATAGAAGAAAAAGAATTATCTTGGAAATCTTGGATTATCAATCATTACCTTGCCTTTATCTCTATGCAAGGTCAGCTTTCCTAATTACATTGTTTTATAAGTTTTCAACCTAGGCCATACTAATATCAATCTCCTATTAAGCAAGATCCAGGAATAAGAACATCTGGTTTAAGAACCTTCGAACCTACTTCGATACAACATATCTGCAGCTTTTCTGCTCTACTGCAGACAAAATAAAGATTTCTATGATAATGGCCAATATTCGTAACGGAGAGGCACATAAAGAAGAAGTAAGAAAACAAAACAAGATTAACTACATATTTAATATTATTATCCTCTTACTCTTTTTGCTATAAATAATCACCAAAATTCTTTATTTCAGACATCTGTATTAGCTTTATTTCTTAATATGGCATATCCTTACACTGGCTCTATGCAGAATTCATTAGAGTCTCACAGGGCCTCATACTAGGGTTAATATCATTTAGTTTATTCTTAAATGATCTACCTTCTTAAAGATCTAGTGCTTGTGTTTTAGTTTATGCGGATGACTGTTTTTCAATGTGCCTCCAGTAAGTTGTCGTTCCATCGTTTTCGTGAGGTTCCTACTGATTGTCTTAATATCAAGAAATTGTCTCTTGCCGTTTTTACCACTATATTTATTATCATTCGGAAAATATGATCATTCTATTCTACTCTTCTATTTCTTACCCAGTTCTCCTTAGTACTTCCTCATTAGTTTTTCTTGTTGTCCAAGAACGTGAAATAATGAGATGATCTCTCAGAATAGTACCCAGTACAGAACATCCAATGTGGCATGAGCTATATGGCACGTATTGTCGGCGCCGTACTGTTAAAAGCACATGTCATTGGTATCGATTTCATCCAATTAAGGCCAAAAAAGTTAGTAATTATCGACCTGTGACGCTTATCTTTAACGGTGATCTCCTGGCAAACATAGTTTTCAAAGAAATAAGGACCGATGGGACGAACAAAAATAGGCCTGATGAACACGATTTTTCGATGAAAACTAGTTTTCACCTGCTCCAAAGAGCATTCAAGCAACACTCGTCATACTCTATTACCTTTAACTCTTGAGTTGTCTCTTAAGTTGAATTAAATTTTATACGCAAAATTGGCGAAGATGTGGTAGGTTAAAGCCGAGTTCTTGTGAGCGACGTGAAATCAACTGCCTCGGTGCCGTGATTTTTTGGGCTGATCTTGCGTTTCGTCTACTTACTGGTGTTGGTTAATTATTTGCTAAAATTTATTTATCACACTGTGAACGCTGCTCTCGGTAGGATAACTATGTTAACCGTAACATTGTCGACACGCGAGAACGTTGCCCGAATACAACACCCATTTTTTTAAGCTTTAATAATATGGCAACTACCAATAGTCAAAGTACGGAATTCTCTATGAGAAGACCCTTTAGGTATCATTTAAAAAATAAAACTAAAATAAACGATGTGACTTTTGTAATTAATCGCATGACTTCTTATACTAAATGAACCCTATTTTTTATTTGTTGTATAATCTATCATGTTTCTTTGTAATATAGTCCAGTCCTGACACAAAACTCGAAAATATATCATGTATTAAAAAAATGTTTAATCTAAAGCTTACCAGGAACGAGTTGTTTAAACAAATTCAACAAACTCTGGCCTAACCTAAATTTCAGCTGCAACTCATCATCTGATATTTCTCTCATCCCCTCTTTTGTCTGTCCAATCAAATTTAGTAAAGCCAATTTCACGTCAGTCAGCAAAAAATGATTAGGATGCAGGAGTTCTTCATAGGTCTCTATAAAACTTCTACATTCTTTAATGTTTTGTTTTGGCATATCATTCAGATCTTTTCCGATCCTTTCGAGAAGATCTTGAACCGAGTACGATGAGAGTTTACTTGGACAGGTGGTGCAATACCAATCTGATCCTTTGTCATTGGTGGAGTTGTCGATGAAGGTTTTTGGAATAACGTATCCCTTACAGTTGCTAAAACAGATTTAAAAATAACAAAGAAAAAAATAAACGTTTTAAATTAGGTCAATATAATTTTGCAGTAACATTTTTGTGCACTAAGTTAATATGTCTTTAAACATTTATATATACCGAGTAGACCAAAAGTCTGGATTCGCCTAATTATCTCTTAAAGGGATGGCCCGAATTACACTCTATAAGTTGAGCAACTTCTAATCTATAAAATCTAAAATTAAATTTTTTTAATCATTGCACTCTGCACACTTTAAAGTATATGTATTAAATAATTTTCTATAAACCACAAACTCATATGGTTCCACATGTACACACAATGTATCCATTGAGAGAAGGTATAATCTACAACTTAAATCCCATTTTGTTCCTATCTCCTTGCCACAATTTTAATTTACAATTTTAGACCATTTTTAAATTTTATAATACAATTAGGTACCTACTGCACTTTTTCTAAAACATCTTGTCTATAGGGACAGCATTGAGTTGATCAAACACTTACACATTTTTACTTCCTGATCATAAATACAATGTCAATCATGAACAATTGATAGGTATTCTGCGAAAGACAGGTATTGACGACAAGGACATTCGAATTGTGGAAAACCTATACTGGGGTCAAACAGCAAGAGCAAAAATTGGCAACGAACTCACTGAAAGCGTGTATATCAAAAGAGGTGTCCGTCAGGGGTGTATATTATCGCCACTTCTATTCAATATGTATTCCGAGGAAATATTTAACAAATGTATGGAAAATGCAAATGAGGATATAAAAATAAACGGCGAGTTAACGAACAATATAAGATATGCCGACAACACGGTGATCCTTGCCAGTACCATAGACGAATTACAACAAGTAATGGAAAGACTTTATTCAGTTAGTGAGGAATACGGCTTGAGCCTCAACTTCCAGAAGACAATCATCTTTGTTTTTTGATAAGCAAAAAACTGCTGATAAGCAACAACCTGCTCGACAATTACGGATAAGTAACATACTAATTGACAATGTAGAATCTTATGTGTACCTTGGCACCAACGTAAATGCAAAATGGGAACAGACCATAGAAATTATGGCAAGAATAGAACGAGCTAGAGCAGCATTTAGCAATATGAAAAAGCTCCTCATAAGCAAGGATTTGTCTCTTCCCCTAAAACTACGTATAGTTAAATGCTACATTTTTCCGATCTTGCTGTATGGCGTGGAGGCCTGGACGCTGACGGAGACGCTAACGAGAAAACTAGAAACATTCGAAATGTGGGTGTACCGACGCATTCTTCGTATATCCTGGACCGAACATGTCACCAACATAGAGGTACTCCAAAGAATCGGAAAGGAGAAAGAAATCGTGAATACAATTAAACAAAGAAAGCTTGAATATCTAGGCCACATATTGAGACACGATAAGTACCGTCTGCTACAATTGATTGTCCAGGGAAAAATAGACAGTAAGCGAGGTCCAGGCAGGAGAAGACACTCGTGGCTCCAAAATCTGCGGAAGTGGTTCGGGCTCAGATCGGTCGAGCTATTCAGAAGCGCTGCAAACAAGATCAAAATTGCCATGTTAATAGCCAACGTTCGCAACGGACAGGGCACTTGAAGAAGAAGAAGACCATAAATACTAGTTCACAGATATTTATTTTAAAAAGAATTTAAATCCAGATTGCCTATTACTACTATTAATTAACTAAAAGATCCCGACATTGCAAATGTATACAGACAGCAAATAAAAGATTAAATAAGAACAGAAAACTTAGAAAAAGAAGAAGACATTAACCCACTTTGGGCAAATATACGATATATAGTGTTACAGAAATCGGTTGAACTATTGGGCAAAACCAAGTCAGAAAGAAATCATTGGTTTGATCATGATTGCGAAATGGCCACAAATAGAAAGAACGCACCATATCAAAAAACTATCGAACGCGGGTGGTACACGGAGAAAAAAAGAAGAGTATAGACGTCTTAAAAGAGAGGAAAAACGTATCCATCGACGAAAGAAGAGGAAATACGAACAGAACACTCTCAATAAAATATAAAGTTTATTCGCTAAAAATGTAACGAAGAAATTCTACAAATCCTTAAATAATAATTGTCGAGAATGTAAACCACGATTAAAAATTTGTAAAGACACTAACGTGATAAAAAACAACAGATAACGTTCTACATGATTAAAACTCAGTTCGTAACAGATGGGCACAACATTTCAGCTAACATCTAAATATAAACGATATTGAAGGAGGTTACAATATAGACAATTAATAAAATCTACAACGTCAACTACAGAGTGAAGACCCAACAAGGGAAGAAGTGTCAAATGCCATCATAAAAGTCAAAGACAATAGGCCTCAGAGATCGATCATATCTGTTCGGAAATATATAAAACAAATGGTGATCAACTTTTTGCAGCAATCCAGAAAATAATAGTACTTGTATGTCAGAATGAATTGGTACCAAAAGAGTGGCTAAAGGGCATAATGTCCGTTGCATAAAAAGGGTGATCAATTGGAGTGTAAGAACTATAGAGGCAGTACTCTCTTAGCATTTGCGTATAAAATATTCGGAAATGTATTGTTTGAAAAACATTTTATAATGGATCTTGTTTGTCAATATCAATGCGGATTTACTGCTGGAAAGTGATTACACATCAAATTCAAGCACATAGGCAGATTCTAGAAAGTTACTATAATATAATATAGATACAAACCATATCTTCGTCGACTTCAAAGCAGCCTAAGGCAGAGTGAAAAAAATTTCATTTTATAACGCAATGATATATTTTGGGGTTTAACACCTAAGTTAGTTAAGTTGATCTATCTAACAATGCAAAATATAAGCTCATGCCTGATAGTTGTAGGAGAAAACTTTACGTTCTTTGACAGTAATCATGGTCTAAGATAGGAGAACGCGCTGGCGTATCTCCTCTTTAATATTGCCTTAGAAAAGACATCAGACAGTTAAATATTAGAATGAATGAAACTATTTTCAATAAATAGACGCAAATTCTCGCATTCGCCGACGATATAGTTATAGTGGGCAGAAGTATGAGAGAAATGGTGCAGTATTTTATAAAGCTTGCTGACGCGAATTAGGACTTGTGGTAAACGAGGGAAAAACCAAATATATGTTGGTTTATAAAAGCCCCCGAAATATCTAACAGAGTAACAACCATACCTTTGAGCAGGTCAAAGAATTAACATATCTTGGATCGCTAGTAAAGCAACAACTACGGTAAGCTACGAAATAAAAAGACGCATAGCAACAGAACTGTTCACTGTCTCCAGAAACATTCAAAAAATAAAAATATAAAACGTGCAGTAAAGTTCAATGTATAGAAGCGCTTAATAAGACCGGTTTTAATATATGGGGCTAAAACATGGACCTTATCTCAAAATGATGAAAGACTTATACCTAGGTATTTTTAAGAGAAAAATTTTTAGAAAAATTTTTGCGGTCGTAAATAAATATGGGCTATGGCGTCGAACATAAACTTTGAACTATATCAGATATACACCGATCCAGTCATTGTGAAATTAGTTAAACTGTAAAGACTTAGATGGGCTGGACACATTGCTAGGATGTTAGATCCAAAACACATGAAGAAATTAACATTTTCAAAACCAGAGAGCACAAGAAGTAGAGGACGACCACGAAGGAGATGGGTTGTTAATATGGAAGAAGACCCACAATTTCTAAATGTCCGAAGATGGAGGGAAGTTGCAAAGAATCGATAGGAGTAGCGACTTCTTTGTGAGTAGGCCAAGATCCATAGCGGATTGTCGAGCCACTTATGATGAAAAAAAAATTTACAAAAAATATGGATAGCTCGAAAACAATATATATTATGTATGACCACCAAAACTATGTTCCAGAATTTTTTCAGAATTTTTTAAGTGGAGAAGTTTATTTTACTGCCCATTTTCTCTCCTACTTCGTAAATACGATCAAGCTGAATTTGGAGACCTATGATATTTTTTGACAGAATTACTGTATCATCCGTGTTTCTTATTACATTAAGTAGATCCCCGTTGATTTTGATGTAGCTGTCTCCTAAGTGCCTTTTTAAAAAGTTGGTCTGAGTAAACATTGTAATTATCTCCAATTTTCACGATTTTGAGCAGTTTGATTTCAGTACAGATTTTTAATGACACGAATATCTTTGTCACGTATCCCCACATCCCTATTTTTAGCATCTGAATTAATTTTACATGCTGTACTTTATCGAATAGCTTTTCGAAGTCAACGAAGTATGCAAATGCATATTTTCTTTGATAAGGGAATTTTTGCAAAAGAATAAATATTTAGCGCAAAAAGTGCCTCTCCAAGTTTCCATCTACAATGTTACTATCAAAATTTGACATCTCATCATCATGGTCTCAACAACATTCAAGGTTCTAGTTTGATTATAATACCAAATTTGTGTTTCTGTTTTCCAAATTTGTGTTTGATTTATTATACACTAACTTACCTATCTTGACATCTAAGAGCACTAAAATATGTTCCAAACTCCTCAGGATCTTTGCACCTCTCACAGGAACACCAAAAGAACTTAGAATTATACAAATGATGTCGTCTATTTGGAGTACCCCACAACGGATCCGTATAACAAATACTAAGATGATCCCCTCTCTTAATATGAGTTCCAGCTGTTATTACTAATCCTCCTTTGTTGGAAAAACTCTTGGAACAATTGGCTGAACAGCTATGTTCTAGCATCGATGCTTGCTCATAAATTGCTATGTGGTTGGGTTCTGTAAGAGGCACTTCATGTGAATTTACCTAAAAATTGTATTTAAGTTTAATATGTTATAGAATTATGTGAAATTAATAATATATTTGGACTACACTGAGGTAAATTACGTTTTATGCATCATAATCGTTACATTACGTTACTTTACAATTGCCAATCAGATAATTTTACATACGACATTTGATAATGTTTATTAAAACTATAGTTGTTATTACATCTTATTAAGGTAATAAATTAAATATGCAAGATACAATATGAATGGAACTGTAGAGCCATAATGGAGATGGACCATTGAATAAAAAACACGCTTTGGGATTTTAGCCACTAGCACAGACCATAAACATATAATACTAATAGACTGATTGCTGCAATACAGTCGCGTTCCTCCAGTGGGACAGAGAAAACTGGCGCAAAGCAGTCCCTGCATTTTTTCTAATTTGCTAGGTTTATCAACCACGTGATCTAAGTGACCAATGAAGATCACATGTACAGCGAGCAGTCTATCTAATTATATCTCTAAGGCACAGACTGACAATACATAACCTTACTTATTTGTTTGAATAAAATCTACTTATAAACGATATGATAACTACATAAATGTAACGCACTGGCATTTATGATTTGCAAAATCGCAGAAATGCCACAGCGTTTAACTGTAAAATCAACAACTTACTTAAAGAGATTCCAAAAATGTTTTCTTGTTTGCTTGGTGATTTTTTTGGTAGAAAGATCGTTTACCAATGCAACTTATTTTTGTCGTATATCAGTTTCATTACCCTAACGTACACTTCCTTTTATTGTGGGTTCAAATTTGGTATATTTGTTTAAACTAAGTAATTCAAAGTATCTCGATTATTCACATCTAGACTGGGTTCTTTAAATTGACACGAGTTCGATGTGAAATGTTATCTGACATTGTACTTGTACTTGTTCCACCGATCATTTTAATTTAATGGAAAGCATGCTGAAGTATACCCATGCGATGACCGTATATGACTTGAAGATACAGAAACCATTGCTTCAGCGATTGTTATATCCCAACGATTATCATTTTTTAACAAGTTGTGCTGTTGACATGTACCACTAAATAATAAGCACACTATACCCTTTACCAGCAACCGGATGGACTATATAAAAGCAACCGAGAGCATTAGTAAAACACACATCCGGATGATCAGGAAACGCTTCCCCTTGCGGTAAAATTTATTCGCTTAAGTGTTCCAAGTGTAATGCCATGAGATCTTAGATTAAAGAAACATTCGTTGTTTCTATCGGGATATTAATTTCCAAACTTCTACATAGCAATGACTGGATAGAAGTTATGAATAAGAAACAATCCTGCGTTGTCGACCACACAATTTTTTTCTTTTATTTTTATTGTGATAGTTCTACCGGTATAATTCGGTGATCGACACTGATATACTGGATAACCATAGTTGCCTGCGATAACAACTATTAACAGAGTATTTAACATTAAACCATCTATTAAAAAAATAGTATTTGTTACTGCTTATTTGACAAAAAAAAAACTAAAAATTACCCAATACAATGGTTACAATTTGAATAAAAACAATAATTTAATATAAGGTTGAATGTTCGAATAAATGAACTTTGATCAAATAAAAGACAGATATCGAGTACAGTTTAATTAAGTTAATCTTGCCCAAGTACTTTCGCTCCCTAGAGCATCTTCAGGGGCATTTAAAATAAGCCAAGGAACGTTTTTTTTACTGAAGAAATTAATTAACTTCGATAAATAAAAACTCGATGGATAATAAAAGTTTTTATGTGATTAACGTTTTAGAATTACTTCGTCAATTGTGGCCTATCCAATAAGAATAAAATGTTATAAACATAAAATTGTACATCACACTACACTACACAAGAACAAACACTTTAAATTTGTTAAAATAGGCGAAGTTACATTATGTACGGAAGCTGGAGACAGAATGGCTTCCAGTCTAACGGAAATGTTGAGGTGACATGTGACATATGACAGCTTGGATGAGCAGTCACAATCATGGATATGTGATCTGCACAATTTAAAATTCTATGGAACTAAGCATTGCAGGTAGGTTTCCTGTAACCAAAACTTTGGGTTTGTATTTAGAGACTACAGATTACAGTTGGGTTTTCTACCCAAATAGATCATGTTATACATGAAACATCTAGTCATCCAACCCAAAATAAAATGGCTGCTTTCAACAGTTACATTCATAGGTTACTCAAATTTCTACTTCCTAATGATAACTTTAATTTAAAACTTAATACTCTTAAGCAAATTGCTTTCAATAATGGTTATGATCCCAACATTATCTATAAGCTTCTAAATAGAGCTAAACTCAAAATTGCAGAAAAGCTTGCATATTCATCACAATGTTTTCTTCAACCTAATACTTCAAATAACATCAGATATTTCTCCTTCACTTATATTAGCAACATTTCCAATAAAACATCTAAACTTTTTACTTCTACCATTGAAAACATCAAAATTCCTTCAAGTCACACAATACTTTAGGTTCCTTTTTAATCAACACCAAAGCTAAGATGAACACACTTGACCAAAGTGGTATTTACAAATTAAAATGTGATGATTGTGATGCCTCTTATGTAGGTAGAACCATTAGAAAGTTATCTACTAGATTTTCAGAACATTTGAAAAGACTAAACTCTTCAAATTTTGGTCAACACTTATTATCTAGTAAACACAATTTTAACATCAATACTGACTCATCTATTTTACATGACATTAGTAGAAAGAAAAACTATCTAGAGTTGGATTTATTGAAAGATTTGGAGATTACAAAGGAAACAAATGGAAACTCTCACTGTCTTAATACTCAAATTAATTTAAAGTGTACTAAACTTAAACCCATTTATAAAAAACTTTATTACAGCTTCACCTCGTAGGAGGCACAGCTCGGCTGTTATTACTATTTTATTATATTATTATACTATTAAAACATTACTATTTTATTCCTCAATAATTTACAAAACTAGCTTGCTCAGGTTCAATTTATCTATAGTGGGCGTTATTTACACTCTCCACACCTCGTTGTTATTTAGATATACCATCTCCACAGTTGTATATTTCAACATTTCCCACTGTTGGTTAGTTGGTCTTGAGCAGAGTTTCCCAAACTTATCTAAACCGCGACCCCCTTTTCCTAAAAATATTGTTCGCAACCTTCCAATTTCCCCCCACTCATTTATTTAATATTATTTGACAGAAATAGCGTGCCTAATTTACAATTATCTGATGGTTTCTCAAATTTAATTTTACTTTACTGTTTAAGTTTAAATCAAAAACAATTATTTTATTTTAATACAATTATTTTAATGATTGCGATCTGTCCCACTAGTAATTAGTAGTAGGTACTTCTGCCAGAATAGCATTTACAATAAAAATAAATAATAAGAAGTCGACTGCACATTGTACACCGCGATATATTAGCACTATTAGCTTGTGTCGCATCGCAAAACTCTTCCATGATAATCGTGAAAGCGCTCGCTACTAGATGGCACTCTGAAAGTGGCAGTAGCAGCAATAAAAACAAACAGATTCTACGTTGATGAATATCTTAAATATGGTTTTACCGTTATTTCCAATAAACCACAAGATGTTATTTGTGGACAAGTCTTGTCAAAAGAAAGCACGAAACCATCAAAGTTACTTCGACATTTAAATAGCAAACATCCAGATAAAAAAGACAAGCCCGTAGAATTCTTTGAAAGAAAGCTGAACGTCCTTCATTAACAGCAAGAAAGTTTTCCCTTGGCAACCACTACTAATGAAAAAGCATTATTAGCAAGTTATAAAGTTGCTTATCGTGTTGCCAAAACTAGTAATCCGCACACAATTGCTGAAAATCTGATTTTTCCAGCAGCTGTTGAAATGGTACATATAATGTGTGGGGAAAGAGAGGCTGCAAAATTAAATACAATACCTCTGTCAAATAATACTATCCGAAGAAGAATTAGTGATATGGCAGAAGATATTTAAGCGCAAGTTGTATAAAATCTTAATAAATGCACGTACTTCTCTCTTCAAATGGACGAATCCACAGATATATCTAACTGTTTATCTTATCTATCTATCTTATCTATCTATTTTTTTAACAAATTTATTTCATAAACAACAAAATTAGATTTTGAATAGTTACCAGGATTTTATTTTTTATCTATAGAAAACAATAACAATTATTCCTGCGCATTTGTTTATTCTTAATTTTTTTAATAGTTATACTGCGGATCTACTATACTACTATATCTTGGCGAAGACAAATAAAAATCATGAAAATCGGTCTGGCCGAACTTGAAATATAGATGGAGTAACTAAAGCAATTTTCAACCTTTATATAACTTAGTTTCCCTGGTTTATTTCAACCATAGAACTCCATTTTCTTTTAAAACAGAGCCCTTAAAGTGAAATCTTATAACAAAGACCTTCTATGACAACATTTCTAAAATTCAAAATTTTTATCACATAATAGATCTTGCTATGTGGTAGTTTCAACAACTTTTTAAGATGTTTTCACTTATGACAGTCCGATAGAACCGAAAACACTCTGAAATTGTTAATACTTTTGGATAATTTAAAACTTTAATAAATTATACCATTATGCATCAGATGTTTTTACTTCATTGTAAATTTTTTTAACTTTAAATCTGTTAGCTTCTTTTAAGTGAGTATACAGTCTAAAATGTATATCTTTAATATAATTAACTAGTTCTAAAAAGAAACCCTTATTCATAGGCTCTTCAGACTCACTATGACCACGTAGTACAAGAGCGCATTTGTTGCACAGCTTCAAAATATCAATACTTTTTGACATGAAGTAACGGTTTTTTGATACCATTTCGTGGTGCATTGGGGACTTTCTGTGTTTTTTACATTTTCACCCAGATGTTTTAAGTCACGTACACCTTCTTTTGTCCTGGTATCGTCTCCTATAGATAACAAACAAACAACATAAAATAATTCATTTTCTTCTCATATTCACATCTACACAACCATAACGTCTTGTTGTAGATATTTAAGTCAATCTTCTGCGTAAACCCCGCTCGATTTTTATAAACAGGTTGAACTTGTCTTAAATTCAATACTGGCATAAGTCCTTTATATTTTTTAATGATAACCTGATCCGTTATACTCAAAGAACTAAAGTTAGGTTTCATTAATTCACGTACTCTCATTGTCATTTATTAATAATTGAACTTAACTCATATCAACAAAATACAATTAGGTAGTAGGTACGCATCTACACGTAATACTTAACTAATCGAATGATAAGCTTCTGAGCGCCGAAATAAATGCAGTAGGTTCCCGTCTGTAGAGGAAAATAGTTGAAAACATCCTGGTGTGTGTCGTTTTTATATAATATTTATATAATAATTTAAAAAAGTTTCAACAGAAAAGTCTGAATATGAAATATAAAATTATGAATGACAATTAAGATAATTAGGAAAGAGTTGTTTTATTTGTATATCTAATAAAATAAATGAGATGTCTTGTTATCAAACATTTTTTCACGCCAGTTATCTACAACTTTTTAAAACTAATGCAAACATTAACTGTTAGCTATAAACTGTCCAAATATATTATTGGAAAATTTCTTTGCACAAACCAAAACAGAATACCTGCTGTTTTTCTCTTTCCAAGTACACCTGGATCCAGATTATTTTCATATACTCATTCATTCATTTCGTAGAACATCTCCTTATAATACTAAATCATCAAAAATCCGATTTATCTTAATTTGTAGAAACATTAAACAGACACACAAGCAGGAAATCTTAAAAGTCTGATTATTATACCTTCACGTATGTACTTTTAATTTGTAAATAAATCGTTACAACTTTTTCGTACCAAACAAACGAATGATGGTAATGACTCACAAATATTTTGACTACGAGCATTACTGAAATATAGGTTAAATATTGGTTAAATATAGTGATTCGAGGAAACCGTTTTGTTATTAACGAACAAAAAGCATATGAATTGAAGTCTACAACGAATTATGTTTGATATAAGTATATCAAATATCAAAATAATATTTTAGAATTAATTAAACAATTATTATATATGAATTATGATATATGAAAAAATAATATAATTAAACAGTTATTATAAACCCGAGAATAGATACATCCAAACCCATAAAAATTAATAAGAGCTGTAAAACAACATTTTATTTTCTTTCCTCCTTTATTTATGGTTTATTTGGAAGCTATAATACATAAAATGTATGCTAAAAAAAAGCAAAAGAAAGTCTATAATATATATATATATATATATATATATATATATATATATATATATATATATATATATATATATATATATATATATATATATATATATCTATATATATATATATATAAATATAATATATATATATATATATATATATATATGTATATAAATATATATATATATATATATATATAATGTATATATATATATATATAATATATATATATATATAAATATATATATATATATATATATATATATAAATATATATATATATATATATATATATATATATATATAATGTATATATATATAATATATATATATATATATATATATATATATATATAAATATATATATATATAATGTATATATATATATATATATATATATATATATATATATATATATATATATATATATATATATATATATATATGATATCATATCCCCATCATGCTCCACCTGAATATGGAGATGGAGATCTATGGGAACATGCTATCATAGCAGCAATACATAAGGTGCGTGTTATATTATGCCCAAGCCTGTAAGGCAATTGCGTATTTAAAGACAACTGCTAAAAACAATTCACTATAGACACCATGCGGCATTTTTTTTTTCATACTAGGTCTTATCTTTCCTAAAAAAAATAAGAGTTTTTTTTTAATTAAAAAAACTTTCTTTAGAAAAATCAGGATGAAAAACTGTTAAGACTAAAGAACTCCCTAAATCGTAGGGATCTGAAGATGACATTCTTGGTAAAAACAGTGAAGGAGTTAGAATGGAGTACTACACAGGAATCCAAGCATGCTGCCCATGGAGGACTATATGTTAATCTCTGATTCGACAAAGATGTCGAAAAAAGAATTAAATTCGGTGCTAAACTATATCATGATTTTTATACAGTTGGATGGAAAAAATATACGCAGGATAAGGACACTACTGTTTTCAAGCAGGAGACTAAAGAGGTAACAATATAGACGCTATTGGGATAATAAGCTGAACATTCAAAAGATCGTTGCACTAAAGAATCGTTCGCAAGAAAGAAAAAACAGAAACTGGCAAAGCAAATTCTGAAAGAAGGGATAGGGCGTAGGTAAAGCTAGGGCGTAGTAAAGATTGGAAGAATTGAACTCTTTTAAACAACTAAGCCGCCAAAGACAGATTATTTCACTTACCATGATAATTCCACAAACTTCCATAATCTCTTCTTCTGTAAAAGTCCCGGCTAATTTAAAAAACTTAAGTATAAATTGAGCAATTTGTGTCCTTTCGTGTTCATAACTTTGAGTCCCTTTTCTGTCTTTGTCATGGGATTGCAATACTTCTATCTTTTTCCAAACTTCCGGAAGAAACTGTTTTTGATAAAGTATTCTCAACACTGTAATGCATTGGTAGTTAGGATGAGTGATACCGAAATTTTTTATTGAGACCTAGAACCAAAATATATTTCAAAGTTACTAATATTACAAATTTTGCAATTACAATAACTAATTTTACAAATATAAAAATGTGTTTAAGTCGTAATATCCATAAAAGTAATAAAATAAGATATGATGAAATATATGAAATGTGTGGTTTGTATTACGATTTGGATTGGAAAAGCATACTTTGTCGCTTATACGTATTCAACCTCGTTAGGTATTATCAGAATGACATATGCAGAAGCTCTAAAGAGCATATGCTCTAGAAACTGGCGGATGGCCTGCATTGAAATTAAATCTAATACCGTCTTTCTATTAAGTTTATCTTTTAAAATAGTTTTACAAGGACAATTAACTGACTAGTATGAACCTATTATTATTTTCGGAATGGCTAATCAAACATTACATGAAGTGGTAAAATTTAATGAATGATACATAGATTGACAGACATTATTTGAAGTCATTAGCGCAAAGTTTTTGGAAATCAGCAGTATCTAAAATAAAAAATATTTGGGTCAAAACCCAATTGCAGATGAAACAAAATTGGCAGAACATAGCTTCACTAGCTTTAGCTATGGATTGGAAAACTGGACTATTAAGTCATTAATTCCAATATACTGTAAACTTTTGGAATGTGGACATATCGCACATTCACAGTTCCGTTAAGTGATGAAATAACTAATTAATCATTCAGCCTTTTGCGTCCAAAGTTAAACATAGGCCTTCCTTAATGTCTTCCAGTTCTGTCGATCTTAAGCTTTCTGCAGCTAGTTCCCAGCAATTCTTTTGAAGTCATCTGTTCCTGGGATAGGTAGTCTACCTCGACTTCTCTTATCTGTTTCACACTATAATTTTTGTGGTCCACCGCCCGTCATTAATTCTGGCCATATGGACAGCCCAGTTTTACTTTAGTTAGTGCTTTATGACATTTGTGATGTCTGTCCCTCTATCGTTTCATTCTTTTACTTCTTTGGGTTACTTTGAGTTTAGTTGCTGCGGCCTGGGTTAAGGAAAGTGTTTCAGTGCCTTAAGTCCTGGCTGGCACAAAATTTGTCTAACACCCACGACATAAATGCAGGTGTCCTCCAAGGCAGTGTCTTGGGACCAATTCTCTTAAAAATTTTTACAGTTGATTTTCCAACTGGAGAAGAATCCACAATCGCAACACTTGCAGATGACACTGCAATTCTGATCAAAAACCCAGATCTCATAAAAGCAGCTGAAATATCACAAATATCAACAAACCATACATTCAATTGAAGTATGGGCTAAAAGATGAAAGATAAAGATCAACGAAGCAAAATAAGTTAACGTGGTATTTATATAGTTCTTACAAAGAAATACCAAATATCCTAGTTTATAACAAGAACATTCCCAAAATTGATAATGTAAAATATCTTGGATTACACCTAAACAAAAGGTTAACATGGAAGACACATATCTGAATGAAGAGAAAGCCATTAGGAATACAATTCAAAAAACACTACTCGGCTGTAAGTCCACCTAATCATTATCTAACAAAATATTAGTGTATAAAGTAATCATCTGGTTCATCTGGACATACGAGATTGAACTGTGGGGAACTGCATCAACATTGCAATACTAGAGCGATTTCAACTTAAGGTTCTCCGTGTCATCACTGATGCTCCTAAGTTTATTCCAAATGCAGACATTAAAAGGGAGTTGAACCATCGAAACAGTGCAGCAAATGATTGATTGTTAGAAGCAATGATAGAGATTTTAAACGACTGGAAAAATACCATAACAAAAGACGCTTGTCTATTAAAGGAATTAATATTCGTGTGACTAAAGATAAGTAATTAGGACAGTCAACCCTACATAGAGAAAAGGGGAATGATAATTATAATATTAACAGATAATGCGTAACATACCATCTATGGGGGAGGGGGGCAGTTGTCAGGAGATTCTGAGAAGGACCGATAGAAATCGGTTTCCTAGATTCATTGGTATTTATTTTTGCTTTCGAATCAAATGCTTCCTTTAATTACCCCGAACTTAATAAACATTTATGTATTGCGGATTTTATAGTTTATTTGATTACATTTTATGTATTTTTAATACTTTTGATCTGTTGAAGCGCAGGTGAATGAATCCATTATAGAAAATAAACATTGTTAAAACTAAAAGCTTTTGTTTATATAATTTAATTTCTCCCAAAAATCAATGACATCACTTCTATCACATATTTTTGTGCTGTCGTCAAGTTCAAAATACTAAAAATAAGGCCATCTCATAATCATTTCAACAGATTACAGCTCTTCTAACATATGTGTTTGATTTAAATTTTTTCTGTAATGGTGTATCTACAAATAGCACTGATTGACTGATGGACGTTTTATTTCATTTGAAGTTTTGTATGTTTGGTCTGAAAATTCCGCACTTGAACATTTATTTTATATTTTTAAATAGAAATAAAAAATCAATCATTAACGTACCACGTATAAGTGATTTTTATACATATGGATTCATCTGTATTTTGTATTATTTTTTCGATGAACTTTTTTATGTAAAGGATCTACAAAACATCTCATGATTTCTTCTTAGTCTACAACCTGATATAGATATCGTGAGTCCAGTTCCGCTAGCAAAAGTTAGTCCCACAGTTTTATACACCCGGATTTCTCCTCTCTTGATAATATCTTTTACTTTTTATCTTCATGAATGTAAGTGTAAATCAAATTAATGTGAACAATGACGGTACTATTAGAAAAATGCAGGGAATATAATAAAACGTCTCATTCATATGTTACATAGATTTTCAAAAAGCGTTTGACAGAGTTCAATATGATAAATTCATACATGAATCGAAACACGTACAGCTAGATATATTAGCAAGGATATTAATTTAATCAAAAATCGGTACTACAATCAAACAGTGCTCATAAGAGTGAAAGATAGTGTGACAAACCAAGTAGAAATTCAAAAAGGAGTCAGATACACAGTCGTCACAATTATTTAATGTGTACTGCCAACTAATATTTCAGGAGACACTATAGGAAAGAACTGAAGGTGTAAGGATTGGAGAAAGCATCATTAATAACATAAGATTTGCAGACGATAATGCAATTGTTGTAGAAAATATAGAAAATTTACAAATTCTGATAGAAATAAAGGTCAGAATTGAAATAGCTCGAAAAGGATGTATAAAATATAAGTTAATATTTACAAATAAAAAATTAAATATTGTTAATAGATTGAGGTTCGTCGAACGATATGTATGGTCACAACTGCTATATGGGGGAAAAGCTTCGACTTTGAAAGCCCAATCCTTATTATTAAATATTAAATATTAGAGGCATTCAAAATGTGGCTATATAGGCATATTCTAAAAATGCCTTGGACTGCAAAAGCTTCAAACGAAGAAGCGTTAAGACGAGTTGGACATGGTAGAAAGCTTACGAACACAATTAAAATAAGAAAATATCGTATGTTGGCCATATATTTCGAAACGATAAATACTCTCTTCTGCACGTCATCATGCAAGGAAGAATAGAGGGAAGAAAAGGCTTCTGGTAAAGGAAGAAATCTTGACTAAGGAATATCAGAGATTGGACTAACCTCAATGTGAAACAGATATTTTATGTTGCAAAAGATGATGAAGTTTTTAAAGAAGTGATCGCCACTTCGTTAGAAGACATCACAATAAGAAGAATGTAAATCGTTTCATTTCTAGTAGTGTAGCGGATATATTTGTAAAAGTTTTGGCTAACTGGCCAATAATAAATGGTATGTAATGAAAATAAAAAGATATGGATAAAATTGCCATCTGCAACAGTTGCCATACTGTTGCAGATGACAATATATTGTAATAAAAAATGCACTAAGCCAGCACTCTTAGTAAATTCAGAGCAGTAGTGATTAAAAATTGGTCCTTGATTTTCTTCTGTAATGAATGTTCCCTTGCTTTCAAAAGTATATCTATATTACAAAATGACGGTATTATATTTTGATTTGATACAGAGCAGCAACAAGCCGCATATACGTATTTCGATCTCTTTAGATCTCCTCAGTACGGTATAGTTACTACTCCATATCAAACCAAAATATTTTCCCGTCGTAGATTATAGTTATTAAAAATAACTATTTACGGACGTAACTACCCTTATATTTGAATTCGATTTCGCCAGGTAGAAATCGTAGGATTTCTCTTTTTGTTCTTAGATGGCGTAAGATGTTATTGAGGTTACTTCTAGTGTACCACGGGGGCTCACTGTTTTCCTTTGGGGTTTTGTTTGTTTATTAATGACTTAACAAATAAATTACAATACACAGATGCGTTATTGTTTAAAGATGATCTTAAACTCTTTAGAAGAGTTAATACAATCTTAAATATTGATTTGATTCAGGATCGTTTGAATACTCTATGGTTATATATGGTGTTCGGAAAATCATTTTCAGCTAAATACTCAAAAGTGCTATAAAACAGCATTTCATAAAATTAAGTAATCAATTGACTTCTTATGCATATGACTGCATTGGTAGTAAGGAGTTATCTGAAGTCAGTAGTATAAGAGATTTAGGTATAATATCTGATAGTTGTCTCCAATTCATTAATCATATTAATACAATATAAATGAAAGCAGGTGAGATGTTTGGATGTACCAGTCTTACTTCAAAAGGGATATAATGTCCAGCAGTTAAAGCGTTATATTATGCATTGGTAAGATCTCTCTTAGAGTATTGTTCAGGTATGTGGTCTACCAATTATAAGGTAAATAAAAGTTTATTGAAAACATTCTGCATAGATTTCTTTGTTTCTGCTCATATCAATTTAGTACACCTAGGCAGACACCCGATTAACAGAAAATTTTAACTCAGTTGAAGGTCTACTTTAGAATCCTGAAGATTAATGTATGATGCGTGTTTTATATATTAAAATTGATTAGAGGTCAATTTAGCTGTCTTAATCTTTTACATGCTGTTTACTTGTGTGTCCTTCCAAGCAAATTAAAAATACAAATAAATTCTAATTAAAAAAAAAAGAGGTT